TTCCTAATTCAGCCACATCTTCTGCTCCTTTGTTCTTTTCGTTGCCGTTCTCAAGTGATCTATCTTCTCGATCGCCATTTTTCCATGATCTCTTGCGACGGCGTATATATACATATATACAACATGAATTCCCGATCTCGGTCCTTCTGACCGATGTTCCCTCGGGATCGAGGCGATCGGGTAACGTCCCACGTCCTCCTTACATCTCTTCATGTGATTGTATCCCATTGAAGCGATTTTGATTGGCCCGTTCTCGCAGGAAGGCGTTCAATATTGCCCCGCAGTTGAGATCGGCTTCGTCGACCCATGTTGGTTCATCGTATCCTGTCCAATGGACCAGGAATTCCCGATAGATCAGACCAAATCGTGTCTTCTTTCCACTCCGCACATCCGAAATTCGCTCGACTTCATACTCATCGGCCCCTAGATCTGGGACCCAGCTGTCCTCTGGAAGCAGGATCTCGTCAAACCGAGACGATCCGCCTCATCAACCGTGCGTTCCACCCGTGGTCGATCTGGAAAGTCCTTGACCAATTTCAGCTTTGACACGTGTACCACTGGGAAGATCTGGTACCCTGTACCTGCGATCTCGAGCTTGACGCTGAATTCGTTGATCTTTTCGGCGATCCGGAACGGCCCGTGCCATAGGTGAGCCAATTTCCGCGCGTATCCTTCCTTCACTCGATGTAGGTACAACCAGACTCGAGATCCACCCTCGATCTGATGTGATCCTGCGTCCTCGTTGTGTCGTTCTGCTTGATCTGAGATGGTCTCCTTCAATCTAGCGTTGACTTGTTCTCGGGATTGTTGGTAGTATCGTTGAACTCGATAACGCCACCGCCGCGCATCTCGATCTCGTCGTCTCGTACATCCGACCGGCAGTGTAGCCTCCAGGGTTGATCTCGGATCCCACCCATGTACCAAATAGTGAGGGGTATCTCCTCGGATCCGATCGTGAGCCGTGTTGATCGCGAAGGTGAGGCTCTCAGCATATTCGTCCCATGCCTTCTGATCAAGATCGCGGACGTACATCTTGACCGCTCTGTTTGCGGTCTGCACCATTCTCGCATCAGTACCGTTAGCCTGCGGACGGTATTCCATCGTCGCCCGCTGCCGTTGTCCCAAGATCTTGTTAAACGCACGGAAGAAATCGGACATGAA